GTTACAGTGATTGTTACAGGAATGTTCTAGTGATGTTATAGGCTGTAATTTCATGTCTGTAGTTATGAGACTGAAAATGTGTCCTCATGTCTTAAAACAAGCCCAGGCAAAACTCTCCAGGAGCAGAGGGGCAGTTCACACCTCATCAGGGCATGTATGGGACAAACCCAGCCCAGCCTCACAGGAACAAAGGACACTGGCCTAGGCAGCAACAAAGGATCTGTTGGACTCTCGAGTGAGTCACCCCCCTTCCCTTGGTCAGTCAGGGACTGCGATGAGGTAATGCTCACCTGACCCTGAAGTGGGGGGCCAAAGCCAAGAGGGCAGAAAGAACATGATAAAAGGGAGAGACGTTTGCCAGGCTCTTCCTCTCTTCCACCTCCATCTACAGACACCCCCACCAAGCGACTGAAGCGCTGATGAAAGGGGAGAGGCTGGCTGAAGAGCGACCAGCCAGCCTGTGGTGAGAAGTTTGTAAGGGCATTGAAAGTGTTAAGATCAGCTTAGAATGCGTTTTGCTTTTATTTCATTTGACCAAATCCGACTTGTTATGCTTTGACTTATAATCACTTAAAATCTATCTCTGTGGTTAATAAATCTGTTGGTTTGTTCTACCTGAAGCAGTGCGTGTGGTTGGAAGCGTGTCAGAGACGCCCCCCTTGGGATAACAAGCCTGGTACATATACATTTCTTTGTTAAATTGATGGCCCAGTGCTGGGGGGACCCAGCCCCAAATACTGCCCCACACCCGGGGGCCTGGGGCTCAGGGAGGGGGGTCATAGAATCATAGGATGGGAAGGGACCTTGAGAGGTCGTCTCCAGGCAGGACTAAGGATTATCTAGACCAGGGCAGCTCCGGACCCACCTGCGGCTGTTCAGAAGTTAACATGCGGCTCCTTGTAGGGGCTGGAGCTACAGGCGCCAACTTCCCCATGTGCCGGGGGGTGCTCACTGCTCAACCCCTGACTCTGCCACGGGCCCTGCCCCCACTCCACCCCTTCCTGCCCCCTCCCTTGAGCCTGCTGTGCCCTCGCTCCTCTCCCTCCATCCCAGAACCTCCTGCACCCCACAAAACAGCTGATCGGGAGGTGTGGGGAGGGAGGGGGAGGCGCTGATCAATGGGGCTGCCGGTGGGTGGGAGGCGCTGGGTGGGGGAGCTGATGGGGAGGGATGCTGACGTGTTACTGTGGCTCTTTGGCAATGTACATTGGTAAATTCTGGCTCCTTCTTAGGCTCAGGTTGGCCACCTCGGTCTAGACCATCCCTGACAGGTGTTTGTCTAACCTGCTCTTACAAATCCCCAATGATGGAGATTTCTACAACCTCCCTGGGCAATTTATTCCAGTGCTTAACCACCCTGACAGTTAGGAACTGTTTCCTAATGTCCAACCTAAACCTCCCTTGCTGCAGTTTAAGACCATTGCTTCTTGTCCTGTCCTCAGAGGTTAAGAAGAACAATTTTTCTCCCTCCTCCTTGTAACAACCTTTTATGTACTTGAAAACCGTTATCATGTCCCCTCTCAGGCTTCGCTTCTCCAGACTAAACAAACCCAGTTTTTTCAAAAAGAACAGGAGTACTTGTGGCACCGTAGAGACTAACAAATTTATTTGGGCATAAGCTTTCCTGGGCTAAAACCCACTTCATCGCATGCATGCAGTGGAAAATACAGTAGGAAGATACATATATACACGGAGAACATGAAACAATGGGTGTTACCCTACACACTATAACGAGAGTGATCTGTTAAGGTGAGCTATTACCAGCAGGAGAGAAAAAAAAACTTTTTGTAGTGGTAATCAAAATGGCCCATTTCCAGCAGTTGAAAAGAAGGTGTGAGGAGCACTGTGTGTGTGTGTGTGGGGGGGGAATAAACATGGGGAAATAGTTTTACTTGGTGTAATGACCCATCCACTCCCAGTCTTTATTCAAGGCTAATTTAATGGTCCAGTTGGCAAATTAATTCCAATTCAGCAATTTGTTAGTCTCTAAGTACTCCTGTTCATTTTGCTGATACAGACTAACATGGCTGCTACTCTGAAACCAATTTTTTCCCTCATAGGTTTTCTAGACCTTTAATCATTTTTGTTCCTCTTCTCTGGACTTTCTCCAATTTGTCCACATCCTTCCCGAAATGTGGTGCTCAGAACTGGACACGATACTCCAGTGGAGGCCTAATCAGCATGGAGTGGAGCGGAAGAATTACTGCTTGAGTCTTGCTTACAACACTCCTGCTAAGACATCCCAGAATGATGTTTGCTTTTTTTTTTGCAACATCGTTACACTGTTGACTCATATTTAGCTTGTGGTCCACTATGACCCCCAGATCCCTTTCCGCAGTACTGCTTCCTAGGCAGTCATTTCCCATTTTGTACGTGTGCAACTGGTTGTTCCTTCCTAAGGGGAGTGACTTGTATTTGTCCTTATTGAATTTCATCCTATTTACTTCAGACCATTTCTCTGGTTTGTCCAGATCATTTTGAATTTTCATCCTATCCTACAAAGCACTTGCAACCCCTCCCAGCTTGCTATGGTCCACAAACTTTATAAGTGTACTCTGTATGCCATTATCTAAATCATTGATGAAGATATTGAACAGAACCGGACCCAGAACCGATCCCTGCGGGACCCCACTCGTTATGCCCCTCCAGCATGACTGTGAACCACCGATAACTACTCTCTGGGAACGATTTTCCAACCAGTTTTGCACCCACCTTATAGTAGCTCCATCTAGGTTGCATTTCCCTAGTTTGTTTCGGAGAAAGTCATGTGAGACAGAGTCAAGATAGACCACATCTACCGCTTCCCCCCATCCACAAGGCTTGTTGCCCTGTCACAGAAAGCTATTAAGTTGGTTTGACACGATTTGTTCCTGACAAACCTGTGCTACTGTTACTTATCACCTTATTATCTTCTATGTGTTTGCAAATTGTTTGCTTAATTGTTTGCTCCACTATCTTTCCGGGTACAGAAATTAAGCTGACTGGTCTGTAATTCCCTGGATTGTCTTTATTTCCCTTTTTATAGATGGGCACTAGATTTGCCCTTTTCCAGTCCTCTGGACTCTCTCCCGTCTTCCATGACTTTTCAAAGATAATCGCTAATGGTTCAGATATCTCCTCAGTCAGCTCCTTGAGTATTCTGGGATGCATTTCATCAGGCCCTGGTGACTTGAAGACATCTAGCCCAGTGGGTTAGAGCTGGGGAGGGCTGGGAGCCAGGACTCCTGGGTTCTCTCTGCGCCCCGTTCCTTGCAGCCCAGCGCCCCCTAGTGTCGCACTGGGGCATTGGAGTCAGCACTCACTGATGTTTCTGTGGGAAGGGACCTGGAGTCCTGGATCCCCCCGTCCCGTCCCCCTTAGCTCCTCGCAGGCGCGTCTCTGTCCGGTGTGCAGCGCCTGGCAGAATGGGGCCCCGGGCGAGCGGGGTTGCGGGAGGCACCCACCATAGACGGGCTGACCCGTCCGGGGCGGGGGGCCTGGTCGGTGCGCGTTAACCCTGCGATGCGCAGGGGCCGGGGTCTGAGCAGGGGGACTTGGGGGGGGGAGAAACTGAGGCTCCTGTTTTCAGCAGTGGTCGCTGAGCGGTACCGGCTGCAGCCCAGGCGGGTGGGGCCAGGGGGCCGCGTCCCCTCCAGCTCGGGGTTCTGGGGGTCGGGGTCTGGGCCGGCGCCGGCTGGAGGCTGCGGGGAAGGAGAGGCGGGGGGAGGCGATACCAGCCGATAATCCACGTACAATCTCCGCAGGTTTGGCAGGTTCCCACGCCCGGCAGCAGCGTCCAGGACACCGGCCCCGTCCGGCCTCTGGCCACTGGCCCCTGCTCACCCCAGTCCCAACTCTCGCCGCACCGGGGGGCCCCAGGGACTCCCCGCGCTCGGGGACACATCACAGCGCGTCGGGGGGACCCGGGACACGCGGCACTAAATCCCCAGCGCCGGCCGGAGCCGCGGGGTGAGATCTCGGGATCTGCTGAGCCGCTCTGGCGATTGGGGGGGGACTGACTCGGGATTTGGGGCTCCCCCCTCCCCCAACGCTTCCCTGTCCAATCGGGGTCCCAAAGGGGCTGGGGGGGGGTGAGCCGCCCCTTCCCCGCGTACAGCCTTGGCGTGAACTCCCCGAGCGAGGGACCGAAGGGTGCCGGGAGCTGGGGGGTGTGTATGTGTGTGTGTGGGGGGTCCCTGCACCCCCTGCTGGAAGGGACAAGCCCTGCTCTGTGTGTCTGTGTCACACGCACACACCCCAGGTTGGGGGGGGGGGCTGTTTCCCTTCCCCTCACCTCTGTGCGTCTGTCTGGGCGCAGATGCCTTTACCCTCTGTGTCCTACACCTCTCCCCGCCCTGGAGCGGGTCCGTCCCCTCCCAGCTGTCCCAGATCCCTGTCTGTCTGTGCTCTGCCCCCCCCCGGTGTCTCTCTCTCCCACCCGGGGTGTCGCTCTCTGCCCCCCCAAGGGGTGTCTCTCTCTTCCCCCCCTTCCTGGGGGTCTCCAGGGATGGTTCCTCCATCGACACCCCCCGTACTGGGGGGTAACTGGGGGGACCCAGGGTGGGGGGTGCAGATCCCCAGGGGCTGGGGAGCCCACCCTGTGCCAGGCATTAACCCCCCAGGGACAATTCCCCCTCCAGTGTGACCCTCCCGCACCTCCCAGGACCAGCCCCATCCCTGGGGACGGGAGCAGTTGCCCTGGCGAGCACATATCAGGTTCACATCCCGCTGTGGGGACTGGATTTACCCCGCCTCCCATGTGAGGTGGGGGGAAGGTGAGTCACATCCCCCCCCCCCCGGCAGTGGAGGCAGACAGGGCTGTTGGGAAGGGGGGGCACGGTGCCAAAGGGGCTATACCCCCGCCCCATCCCTGCGCTGGGCCGGGCAAGGGAGGTGCTTTGTGCCATCTCGGCGCCCCCCCCACACACACTTCCCCCATCTCTGCCCTTTGGCTCCAGCTGGGAACCAGGCATCTCCACTGTCCCGGCAGCTCCCGGCGGGTCCCGCAGCAGCGACGGGCGATGGGACGAATCCCCCACAGACCGGGTGGCCCTTGGTCAGGGATTCTCCTGGCAGGTCAGAGGGACGGGGTCGGGAGAGGGGAGAACGTGGGACCCAGGTGTCCGGGACACAAAGGCCTCCAACAGGCACCATTGCAAATGAAAGTAGAGGGGCTGCGGGTCGGGAGTGAGGGGCACCGGCAGAGCTGGGGGGAGCCAGGCTAGCAGGGGTCTGTGGGTTAGGATTGAGGGGCACTTGCAGAGCTGGGGGGAGCCCAGGGTTTGGCTGGCAGGAGCAGAGTCCGACACTTCCTGCCCCAGGCTGGTTCCATCCCTGGGCTCCCCCGAGGCTGCGCCCCACATCCCTGGGGTTGGACCCATCAGATGTCGCTTTGTTCCTGCAGATCCTGCTTTGCATGAGGGGATTAGCAGGGATCAGCTGTTTGTGTCTCTGTCCCAGAGCACTGAGGGCACACCCAGCTCCCCTCCCCCCAGATCGAGACCCAGGCGGGTCCCACAGCAGCAAAGAGCAATGGGGCAAATCCCTGAGAGACCAGGGAGGGGGGGACCATGGGACTCAGGTGTTTGGGGGACACATCGCTTAACAGGGGACAGTGCAAAGGAAAGCAGAGGGGCTGCGGGTCGGGAGTGAGGGGCACCAGTTAGTATCAGTCTCTCTGGTCTCCCCCCCGCAGCCTCCGTCCTGGGCTCCTGCCTCCAGCCGGCGCCGGCCCAGACCCCAATGACCATCACCTCGCCGAGCCCCGTGGTGGGAGGGGACGTCAGCCTGGCCCCGCAGCCACCACCACAGGACTTCATGTACTGCAGCTGGTTGCGATATAAGACCACTGATGGAAACCGCCAGATCCTCACCTACTTCCCACAAACACCCCCTGTTCAGCAGAACGGCTCGGCCCACAAGGGGCGGGAGACAGCGGGGCCCAGCTGCGTCCTGAACATCGCGGGGTTAACGCTCAATGACACCGGGTTCTACATGATGGAGATAGAGCGCCGGACTAGCTTTGTCTTCGCGATAGAGTATCTGCCCGTCTATG